TCAATTTCCTCTTCTTCCATTCGACAATTCAACGGATCCGCAAAATGCGATTTCATCTCTAAAAATTTTCGCCAAGAATATCTTCCAATAGAAATTGAAGCTCTTTTCGAACACTATCTCAGGTCTACATTGATTTCTTGCTAAATTACCAAAATATCTCACAAGCTCATCGGAAGCATGTTGCAAAATGAATCGGAAATTCGATTTTTATTGATTCAGTCTACTCTGTGCTGTAATCGTTCACTGAATATCACAATTCAAAACAACAATATTTCGGCGAATTTAATGAATTGATAAACCTTCTTGTTTAATGGCCACTTTCAACGGTTCAGCAAATGCCTCTTGTAAAGCTGAAATTGTTTATCAAATGAACGATTCACATCGATTAAACAAACAAACAATTTGATCTGAACTAGATCTGATCGAGACAAGTATGAGTTGAGCGCATGTACATACATAGCCTTCTGTATTTTTGAATGCAGCTAAATTTTTCTTAAACTATTCACGAAGATGCACGAATAGAAAGAAGCAACCCTTATGAGCAGCAGGCACGTAAAAATCCACTTTAATGTGAAGAAAAAGTGACGCAGGTCCAGCCGGTCGATTCGCTGCATTGCGCAGAATCACATGACGATAACCTATAATAATGCATTCTCATCGTTCACCAATTGCAACAATTGCTAGTTCGTTTTGTCATCGTAAACGAACACTTTCAGCGAATGAATTCTCGCCATTAATACTGCCTATTCAGAAGATACTGAAAAGAATGTTACCAACCGTTTGTGATTAAATGAACGGGCAGAACACGATGTGCAAGCTGCTCACCACGATCACTCATTAAACGTATATAAACAACTGAACGTTCCGGGAATCGAATCTGAAATCCATATTTTTCAACCCACAGTAATACCCTCGTATAGCGGTCGTTTGAACAGTAGTGAGACTACTTTATTCACTAGAAAACTGTTTTGACGATTTAATTTGGAGAACGACAACGAATCTGATGCAGCAATACCTTCTCAATGACGAACGGCTCATCTTTAAGTGTCGAGTAAACTGGATTAATTACGTTATTCTGAACAATTTTTGTTTTGAATCGTCCTTTGAGTTGCTCCAATGGAAGTCCATAAAAATCCACTTGAACGTATGTTGATGTTCTTGGAGAGCCTAACGTCGTTAACAGTTGGCCTGATAAAACCTGGAAAGTTGATTGTCTCGTAAATTTATTACCTGATTATCGCATTTAACTGATGAACTGCACAGTAGCGCAGTAGTCTTGATGCAATAATGAATTACATTTACAATAGACACTAATTCAAAATAGACTGGGGTATTTTGAAGAATCTTCGAAAAAAAAGCGGGTAATCCACACGAATCAGTCGAAATCTGAATTCATATGTTCGTAGTAATCTGATCTTAATCACTCATCATAGTATCTCCATATGATCAGTTGATCTGATCA